CAAATTGACCCACAAATAATGTTGTTTCGACATTAGGATCACATGGGTCTCTGAATTCTTTGATTTAATTTGATTTCATCACTCATCAGTTTGTATCTACAGCCAATCAATATCTAGAGATTAAATCTTGAGCAGAGTAAATTACAGAAAAGCAATGAAGTCTTGGTTTTGACTTCTACTAAATTAGCAAGCAAGACCTACAATTAAAATAATAACAGATGAGCCAAATTTATTGATACTTGATCTAAACAAATTAACATTGGAAAGGTGGACTACTTTTACTCCAAAGGAGATTTTACAAAAAAAGACACGCAAGTTCTTTTCCCAATAAAAGAGCTAAACAGAGTGTCGAGAGAAATTTTTGAACTGATTAAACAATTCCTAATTGTAAGAAAAACTCCACCAGAAATTAGACGAACACCAATCAATGATAAATTACTGTTGCACATAAACTTGAAGTGTAAATTAATACAAACAGCTTCATCATCTTTCCTATTACACTTAATAAGGAGATTCTCTGGCACATCCAAAGAAAAAAAGAAAAACAATATATAATTAAGTTAAATGTGTTTGACACTGAAAGAGCGGGGAGGGGGAGGGGGAGGAGGGAGGTGGGAGCCAGGGAGGTGAGGTGGGAGGATTATGTTCAGTTCGGCAAAAACACAGAAACAAAGAGTTAAATAAAAAAAAAGAAAAAAGAAAAAGTCAGTCAGAGGCTTGTGGAAACCGCTCACCAAAACGAAACCTCCTTTTCTTCCAGAAACAGGTCTCTGGGTCGAGCTTCCCCGATTTTCTCGCCGGCTCGGATTTACACCTTGTTAGTATCAGAGGTCGAGTTGGGCCTCCTATCATTTTCAATATTTCATCTTCGCTTTTAGCGGTGGTTCTGATTCTTCCACTGCTTGAACTTTCAAATCCTTCGCAAAAACCCAACTTTTCCTCGATTTCTGGATCTGTTCTCGTTTCTGCAATCGAACCTCCTTTTCCCAATCTGGGTTTCTCATCATCATCATCATCATCATCATCATCATCATCATCATCATCTTCTTTTTCTTCCTCTTCTTCTTCTTCCTCAACAGGGTCCCTTCCTCCCTGTTCTCTTCTTACTTCTCCATCTTCAGTTGTAGAGGGCGAGCCCCAGAAGCGACTAGCCAGTGAGGAGGATCTGTACGGCTCGGATCTACATCTCATAAGCAGTAAAGCGTTCTTCGGCGGAGAAGAAGAAACAAAGACCTTGGATTCGTCATCTTCTTCTGAATCGTACTCTTCCTCTGAATCTTCTAGCTTGGGTTCTCTCTTCACTGAATCTTCCATGACTTCGACCTTCCTCCGATAACTTAATTGGAAAAACAGAAAACATCTTCGCCAAACTGACCGAGCAGTCCTGGCTTTCGGCCTTTTAACATTACAGTTACAAAGCAAAGCATCCCGGATCCAATGGCACCGGCGTTTAGAAGTGGTGCCGGTGCGTCCAGACTTAGACGCAGCTTGCTTGGACCTTCTGACGCGAACTTGCCCGATACAGGTGACCTTCGGCGAAGAGGGCTCCTGGGTTTCGACGGCCGTATTCTTCTTTCTCACGAACAGGGGGCTGGCTCGGGACCTTCCTCTGCTTCTGTTCCCTCCATGGCTTCTTAGAAACCTCGTTAATGGAGGTGGGAACTTATCCGTTCGACATGGGCTGGAAATGGGTTTGGAAGAGAGACGCATTTAATGTTAATCAGAGAAAGACACAGAGGAAGAGATACCCGAACAGCTAGATTTCGAAGAAAGTTCTTGCTTTCTTCTGCTCTGCGAATTCTCACCGATGTCCTCGAACATTAACACTTACTATGACCCTAATAAACCAACATATGACATATCTTTTTTATTATTTATTTATTTTTTAATATTTTTTCTGGTGTTATTAATTAACTTGCACGGGTGGGTGAATCAGACCAGTCAGCTCAGTGGACTTTTCATCTCGAGGTTCTGTTTGGGTTTTCGAGGTCAAGATATTTTTTTATTTTTTATTCTTTTCACTCTTCTATTACTAAACAGTGATATGATTTTGCCATAAATTACAACATAAGTAATAGCAATTATCCATCCTTGATTTCATGTTTCTACAGTAGAAATCTTTACTCGTAACCGTTGGATGAGCATCCAAAGGCAGATTAACTTTGACTAGATATTGATCCAGCGTGACGTATACATGTGATGTCATTTACATATCTTATACTTGAAATATTGACGATTTGACATGGCGGAAAAAAAAGGAATGTCAAACCAACTATGGTGGGCCTGGGCCATCTAGCTCAGACCAGCTAGTCAAATCAGTGACATGATCAAGTGAATCTTTTCTATTTCCTATTTTTGATCAAATGGATCTTAAGTATACAACAATACAAAGGTCCGCAACCCGCAAGGCGCCTCCTAACCGTGGGATTGGGGTTCACATACCGCACCCATCAGCGTGCTGTCAGGCTTGAAATCCAATGGTTCATAGCACTTTGAAAAGTCTGTCAAGTGTGACGTGGCCCGTCAGTCTAGTCCTCTCCTGAAACCGACCGTGTAAAACTCGGGCCACCGCACGTATTCCTCTTCTCTTTCTCTGGATTGCGGAGTGAGGACAGTGGCACCACCACCACCATTTGTCCAAACCTCGTTGCCAGACGAGAAAGTCTGAAAAGTCAGGTGATGCATTTACATTAACACCCTCATAGCACCTAGCTGTCTAGCTCAATATCTACACAGTATAGAGTATACTACATAAGTATACAACACCGACTGGGAGTGTTTGAAGGATATTATAGTAACTTAACTCTCTGGCCTCTAGAGTACGGCATCTCATCGAACAAGAAAACAAAAAGTCAAATGAATAGCTTTTCACCAAACAAGAAGCTTTTGGGGGCTTTTCTTTCTTTAGCTATATGATTCCCATATTTTTGGGAAACTGTGAATAAGACTGATTTTAATCAATAGATAAATTTTATATTAGAGCAAGCAACAAAACATTACACAGATGGAATAAAATGATTCATCAGTCCTGAGGTTCAGAGGTTCATTAGTCCTTACCTACATTAGCTTTCCTAGATGAGCTGCTCTGTCATCCTGTCTTTTAACAACATTAAAGCACATTTTATCGAAATCGGAATTTCTCCTTACAGAGCACGCCTCACACATATCGCAGTCCTGCATTGGGAACATCATGGTACGAGACTCGCTTTGTGAGGAGGAAACCAGATTAAATTTATACAAAATTTTAAAATAAGACCAAGATTTGGATTTTTCCTTCAACACATTAACTGACTGCAGTCTGCAGCAAATGTGATTATTTTTCTTTTTTCTTTTGATTAAATCGTTATACTTGTTCATCCTTTGCCTAGGCAAACATCATACAAAATAAAAACTGCGAACACCTCTCGTAGCCACACAGAAATTACCAGTATCAGGTTGTGCATCAGAACCAAATGATATAGTAGATTTTGTCATTGTTCCACCGTCACAATTAATCCTGATAAACTCTCTTGAAGGAGGAGACCAATAAACAATTAATAAACTGTAAATTAAATATTTCAGAGTTAAATGAATCCTCTGTGGTTAAATTATAATCAACAAAGCTATTATAAATACCATAAACAACTAAATACGCTGCAATACCCAGTGAAGATTGTTCTATTTCCTTTAAAATAGATAGAACAAAATTAAAATGTACCGCTCTGCCAAACCAAAATAAACACCTTATCATGATGATTCTGAACAGACTCTACTCAATCAGTCTATCATAAAGTATTCTTCTTTTCACTTCTATTCACACAAAGACCCATCGAACCAGCAAAAAATATTGCTCTAGTAAAAACGACAGAAATAAAATAATAATTAATAGTTCCTACTTCCTAGATCGTTGCCACACAAAACACTTTTTGGTGTTTGGACTTTGGAGGTTACACCCAGTATCTAACCTACTAAGAGGATCTCATTCCCTACAAAGCCTCTATAGTCCCCTATAGATTCTCCCCAGTCCAAAGAATAGACTAAAATCTAGGAGGAATTCTCAACCGACATGTGTTAAAACTATCTAATTGGGCATTCATTAGTATCCTTGCCGTGAACAATCACGTGACTCCCCTCCAATAACGGGCCGGAGCCCGACTTCAATACATGATTGGAGATTCCAAGGGTGAGAGCATGGAGCTGAGAGCTTAAATGCCATTTGACTTTGATCTTACATCTCGTTTCATTGAATTAGCTTTAAACATCAGAACATATTAGAACTGGAGGCTTCACATCTCCGCCCCACCAGAAGCCGCCCACAGCATATTCCCGCCGTGTATCGGAACTGGTACTATCACCGGGAGATGTTTACAATACACGGCGGGGATGTATTGTGGGGCGGAGATGTAATCTGAGAGCAATGATACTGGACGACATTGAGGTTCATGTGGGTGGTTCTGGAGTTGGACTCTGGAATCTGGATGTGTGTTGCTAATACACCAAATCAGAAATAGACACGTCAATGGGCTATTACCAGGTATATCAACCACTGACGTGTTTATTTCTGATTTGTGTACCAGCTAAACGTGCGCTGACAACCACATCCTACATATTCATACTCTACAACCAACCTAATTGCAACCTTCTATTACCTTAAAAAAAGCAGCCTAATTGCAAGATTACAATTTTTTTTCGAAGCCTCAAAAGCAAGGACAACAGATACACGAACAAATAAAAATTAGATTAAACATGGAGGAATTAGTGCAAAAATGCCAATTAAGTTTTTTTTTCCCGTCAAAGTCTAAATATAGAATAAAAACATAATCGTTATCATGGTTCAAACAAATTTTCAGCACAATAATCTCCATGAGACTCGTGTTCGTCACCAACCTCTTTACCAGGGAATGCATAGCAAGTTATGGACCCCAGTCTGTTTAATCTTCTAGACCTCCATCCCAATCTTTTTCATGTGTGTGTTCTTGATGTCTTCCCAGTTCCTAGTTGGTTTTTTCGCAGGCAAATGCTAAATAGAGATATGCTTATGCTTAGATAAATTGGTTAATTCTCATGAATGAGCACATATAAATGGAACATTTACATGAATCCCATCTTGTACAGAGACTGCAAGTTATTCAGGTGACAATTACACGATTAGAACTCCATCACTCTTTTCATTCCTACCACCGAATCCTGCCCACCTATCTTGTTAATACCTGTAAGCAATTCTGAAGCTGCGGATGAGTGATCATAGCCCTTCTCCCCCTCTTTCCCAACCTTCCATGATTCTATTTCTTCATCTGAGGAATGACACAGGCATATTAGAAAAAAATACAGTTTAGGTTCATGGACCATGTCATGGATAGATTTTGATCCTGATGGAAAACCAAACAATAACAGAGATGGTAACAATCAGATCAATGAAGTCAGAAAATCTTGCCTGACGATGCTTCTAAAGAAAATTCTGTGAGTCGACGAACACAGTCTTTCAGAGTTTGGAGTTCTGCTTCTTTCTCGTGAAGTTTATTTTCAGCTGAATGGAGTCTGGATTCTAGCTCAATGATATGGCTTTCCTGCTGTTCGATAAGTAAATGGCATAGTTTCTGATCCAGTTCAGATGGAGAAACCCCACAAAATTGATGAGAGTTAGAATTTGTGCCTTCTTCATGTGGACCTGGTAGCTCATCAGCTAAAACTCCATTTTTTACAATGTCTGAAGGATGCTCTATGTCAAACTGAGATACCGAAGTTCCAAATCAGAATGGATGGAATTCAAAAACATATTGCCCAACATATATGCAAGTTCCTAACTGGAGGCTGTAAACATTTCCTCCTTACATTCACCACAGATGGGGCATAACAGTCACATAATGATGTTCAGATTACATCATCCATGAGCCACCTCATCGATGGGGCACAAAAGTCACATAATGGAATAATTCTAGTAAGGTCACTTTCTCTCCATTATTGCATTACATTCTTCAACCATTTAACCATATTAAGCAATTGAGTTTAAGATTTTATTTAATCTTGAACCATGGTTACAGTAGCTGTTTTATGTACCATATAATTTGTGGCTACCCAAGGGGTTTCTAACATACTGATTGGTCTCAATTGATACAGGCAGATATGTCTGACACAACTTTTGTGTCTGGAACTGTCACCAAAGTCTAGTACCATAAGACTCCTAGAATGCTGTGTGTGAACATGCTAATCTGAAAATAACAAAGGATGCATTTACTATGCCTTGTCTCATTGTTTGTCCATTTTGTTTTTGATTAATTGTCTAATAAGTGAATTTAATGAAAGGAGAATGAGAGAAAACTTACCTCACCCAGTCCTGATCTTTGTTCAGTGCCAATTGCTTCTTTGAAGTTGTGGCAAGTTATTTTCCGCAGTTCAGACTCAAATGCTGCTTCAAGCTGATCTACCTCTGGTACTTCTGGCTGCTGTTCTTCAGTAAGAACACTACTGGCACAATCACCATCATCACTTAATGGGAAGGCCATAGATTTGGGATAATTCAAACCTCTTGCCACTCCACCTGACTTAATGGTCACTGGTTGATTAGGCTTGCCCTCACATTCTCTGGGGTATGTATCACTTTTACCATTGCAATTTGAATCCTGCAGATCATGAGATAATTTTCTTTTGTGAAGCTCAGTTTTCAATTCCTGAACAACTTTTACGGTTTCCTCTATTGTAGAGTTTAGTTTATTGATCTCTGCTCTCCCAGCTGACACCATGTACATAATCCCAGCACCAAGCCCCCAATTGAAAATTTCTTCACCTATAAGATATAGTCCAAGGAAAAATAAGTTATACATACCATCCAGAAATAAAAAACTAAGAATTATTGAACAAATCAAACCTAAACTGAAGAGAATACAAGCCTTTGAAGCAACAAAAAGCAGAAAAACCAGCTGTCTCTAAGAAGTACTAAGTGAAGCTAGAAGTAGATAGGTGTCATGAAGTTACAAGATCAGATTAGGTTCTAATACAATTTATGAGCATCCTATTGATAGTTTTCAATAACTTGATGCTCTATTGATCCAAATGGTAGACTCTCTTGATGGACCATATCTCACATGCTATAGTTGCTGGATTTTCAATTTGTCAGGCTACATTAAACGGTCAAACATTCAATTGTTTGATGATTGTTTATTTCACTTGCAGCCATCAATCATCTAACTGGTAAGGTATCTATTAGAGTCAACATTCAGGAAAATCCACTGGTCTACTGCCTATCTTTGATAATTAATGACATGCTATTATAATGCTGTAAACAATAAGCAGAAACCTTAAAGCCTTGCTTTTCCATAGGATCTCAAGAATAGTTTATATCCACAGCTTGGTATCATGACACATAAAATATCTTTCTTGTAAAGCTTTACAATTTTGAAGAGATAATATTCTTTACAATCCATTTTGAAGTTTTAACTATGAATTGACGTCTATGTCTCTACCAAGGTTTATAATGTTGTGTTGGTAGAAATGTTGGAAATATCATATGGAAATATTGTAAAAATTATAGACATGGTGGAAACATTGTAAAATATGCAAAATATAGAATGATATTTTATGAAATGATAAAAGAAGCATAAGCACACTTTTTAAATTATTATTTTGTTCCAAATCACTAAATAAAGCTAAGAAACTAAGTTATAGACAAGAGAATACATTCTGAAGTTGCCCTATAAACCATAAGATTCAGAGCTTCATGATAGAATGAGTTAAAACAAAATTTAAACTCATAGAAAATGTAAATGGTTGTAATAGATCAATCAAAATTTAACTTCATGTTAGAAATGAATATTGAGATAGCTCAAAGTGGTAATCATGTAAGTTAGGTAGGAAATAACATTGTTACTCCACATATCTACAACATTGTTACCAACTTATGTTATAAATTTATAATACTATCTCTTGTACTCCACATAATGCTGGTAGTGTTCATTGGGGAATATATCGATTCCAATAAAATGCCATGTGCTTCCCATGGAAGTGGAAATGGAAATATGCCACAGAAACTATCTCTTATACTCCACATAGTGCTGGAAGTTTTCACTGGGGAATATGTTGATTCCGGTAAAATTCCGTGTCATTACCCATGAAAATAGAAATATGTCGTGGAAATTTTAGGGAAATCAGGGACATTTTAAACCATGAACAAAACCAACCTCTCAGTGAACCAATTTTTTAATGGTAAAATATAATGTATTATATATTAAAAAAAATGTATAACCCCTTTAGTACAAATAGACTTTGTACATCAATGGCACTAGGCTACAAAGAGTTGCCAAAAAAGTCTATGAACAAAAAAGAATGACTTAACTCTCTACAAAAACTCTACGGTGGAGAGCCAAGCCCTAATACACCAACCTCATAGTGAACCAAACTTTTTTAGAAATTATTAATTATAAACTATGAACCTAAACCAGAATCAAATAAACTAATGAACTGGGTCACCCTTACTCTAAACTAGACCTGTTCATGGGCCGGGTAGCCCGATGGCCCGGCCCGCACCCCGGTCGGGCTTGGTCATGTAATTAGGCCCACGGGCCTAACACAGTAAGCCCGACTGTGTTTCGAGCCGGGCTTGGGATTTGTCAAAAAAGCCCAACCCGAGCCCGGCCCGACTCGACTCAATATTATATATTTTATAAAATACATAATATGTATTTTATATATTATATAAAATATATATTTATAATTTAATATATACATTTTTATTTTTCTCTTTATAATTTCTCTCTCTCTCTCTCTATCTATCTCTATCTCTATTCAGCCGCTTCAGCAATAGTAACAACATGGGCTAAATTTCGAGCTCGGGCCCAGTCCCGGGCTTCGGGCTTTTTATGAGGGCCGGGCTCGGGCCCAAGTTATAGGCCCGATGGTCGGGCCACTTTAGAAAAATTTGTTAATACAGAGTGAAAGCCCAGCCCGAGCCCAGCCTGGCCCGGCCCATGAACAGGTCTACTCTAAACAATCCATCAAATTAGAGCCTTGGAAGATCATACAGTGGATGCCATATGCCAAAGAATAAATAATACTGATAATATCTCCTTTCAAAGAGGACCCAAGGAAAATAAGAGACAATATGAGTTGCAGAGTTGGGGTTTCATGATGAGAAAGAAGTTCCAACAAAAATAAAGAGATTCAGGTCAAATGCCATTTTAGTGGATGTTTGCCTGGGATAGATTGAATTGTTTTTTATCAATAACAATGACCAAAGCACTTAATTGAATTCAGAAATACATGTACCCTTCTTATTTAATGTTGGGAGGCCAGAAGGGCCACTACCCAATGCTGGCCCCTGCTATCTAGGGAAGGGTGCATTGGATATGGACCTGACCTCAGGCTTTTCTGCACAAAATGGTCAGACTTGAACCTATGTACTCATGCTTGTCAGCCTTTGGCTTCACAATTGCAGCAAGAAATGACCCCTTCTCTGTCAAGAGAACATACCAATGTTGTTAAAATCTTATGATTTACAATACGATTCATGATTTGCATCATGAATCCCAAGGGTTTCGATTCGAATCTTATGTCCGAATCCTTTTCTACAAATATCTTACAATTACGATTTTTGTTTGAATCCTATGATTTGTTTCTTAAATCTTACAATTTATACAATTCATTGTGATTCAAATCAATTTAATTAAGAATTGGGTCTCTACTTTGTCATTTTGCTTTGTTTATATTTAGTTTTGTCAAGTGTGACTTGATTTAAAGACCTTACTAGAAACTGATTTATTTGTGTTAGTTAAGACTGTATATTTAGTTTATTTTCTATCATGTGTTGGATAAAGAACCATTGCATGTGGATTATTTGACTTTCAAGTCAAACTCGATTATATCATCTTAGACTTCTTTTGCATAACTGGTAAGTTCTATTGTTTTAGGTACATATATGGTAGATATGACTTAAAATAACTCTTCTATATATATTTAGTCTTTTAGCATACCTATATTTAATTTTTGACATGCTTGTAAAAAATAGAAATAATCTTATGGTTCATGATTCAATTTGATTCAACTTTCTCTATGATTTACGATACAGCTATGATTTTCAGAACATTGGAACAGACCAAAAATTATAAACAAAAAGAAAGCAAAACAGCTTGATGAAAACATCTTGTGGATGATAACTAAAGCAATTTCATCCCTCACCACAAAGAGTCCTTTTTAAAGTATCCTAGTTGACTAAGATATAATGATACCTATGTAAAAAAAAAAACAAAAAGAAAAGTTGCATCAACTATCAAAGAGTCAAAATTTATGAACCACAAACTATGAAACTGTATGATATAATTAGAACAAAGATACAGAAGAGAAACAGGAATATTGAATATGAAGACTGTCTCTTAGAAAATTGATGACACAGTATAAAAGAATGTAAACAAATTCCGCATGGTTATTTTGACTAAATGAAAGCATATGATAGAGTTTCGAAAGACGATCTGATAAGCATTTGGAAAGAAAGACACATCAAGCAGTTAATGCATGTATGAGGAAACATTGACCAACGTGAGAAAAATGAGAGAACTTTCAGTTGCAGTAGTGAGTTTACACAAACAGATTTAACTAGATCTTATCCTTTTTTATTGGTGATGGGCATGGTAAACACCCACATACAAAAGGGAGCTATATATATTTTGTTTATTGTTGACCCAACCATTCATCAAAAAAATTGTTGACCCAACCTGCCATTCCACCTAATGTTTTTTCTTCTCCAAGCTCAGAACATTGTAGCTGAAACCAATCAATAATCAGGTAGCTTTTGAAGTTTGAAAATTGGAATTTAACTTGTGCTTGAACTAAGACCCAACCTAGTCATAAAATTTTAGCAAAAAAGAAAAAAAAAACTTGAACTAAACCTTAGTTGCAGTAGGTTTTTTTTGGAACTTAATCTGATCCATTGCTAACCATATTCCAAAGAGTATAGTCTTTGTTGATAAAATTTGCAAAGAGAGTCCAAAACTAGGAGTCAATAGTTGTTTCAGAGTTTAAAAACTTCAAAATAAGCTAAATTATGGACATGTGAAATGTAACTTAATAACTACATGTATATGATCCTAGACATTTCTGGATGACAAAAAGGAACTTAAGCAACCCAAATGGTGGGGCAAGTGTTGGATGTTAATGACAGTGGAATCGTACTTTGCTGACTTCCCACTTGACTCCTTGACACCCTCAAGTTGATTCCTCCATGATATGGGGAGCCATGTCATGGTAATGAGTCCAAATGCACATGACTTCTCCAAACCAAGTGAATAGCTACCATAAATCAAGTGATTAACTCAGATGGCTTCTTTGGTTCCTCCTAAGTCACTTGATCCTTTTGAGTCAAATGGCATACTTCTCTGGGTGGATGACTTCTATGAATTTTTGACATACACTACGTCACTACCAATAACAAAGGTTTAGATGTATGCTCTTTCAGAAATGCAGAAAATAGCATATTAGATGCTAATAATATCATGAAAAGATAAATCGAGCTTTGTGTTATTCTTTTTTTATGAAAGAATCAAATAAGTTAGTAATAATTCAAATGCTGTGCATACATTCCCTTGCTCTAGTTTTTGAATTTATAATGTGTAATAGTAGATGATGATCACATGTGCTGATTTAGAGACTTGTCCATCATCATAATTTATAATATTCTAAATTGTAATATTTCTCCAGAGTCAACTTCACTCCTTGTCTTGCTGAGACAAACCAATAGCTCAGCTGGAGAGCTATGGGTGGAGTTACATACTAATATCTCAATACCTAAAGTATTGGCCATCGCCATTGACCAAGAAATTAGCATATCACAAGCGATAAATCAGGTAAGAAGTTTTATCTGTGTAAAGCCACTATAAATTCCTAGCAGTTATTAGAAAGATGGCTCACAGTCTACAATCTGCATTGTATTAGAGAACAGCCAAGTGTATAAACTGCTCCTACATTTCTCAGTTTATATTAGCAAGTCCTTACAAAGGAATACTTTATCTTATTTTTCTTTAATGTGCGTTGGGAAACATACTTGTAACAAAACTTAGCACCTTATCAATAAACGAACAGAATCTAATTATCACAAGAAAAGACAAGATCAAGGAATAGAGGGGAACCACTCAACCACTAGGTGAGAACCACTTGGTCATCATTAAGGAATCACTCAGTTCTCAAAGTTCTTTCCGAAAATAATCTACTAAAATGCTCTTTCACCTATTCTCACAATTTCCACGTTTCCCATCCTATTGTAATTTCAAGTATTAAACCTTCTGGCATTTGATCATTGAGCTGCATCAGTTATTCCCCAAGAGATTCGATACATTGAAAATTATGAATAATTAGAACCCAAAACAAACCTGAAGAAAGAAAAGTATAGAGCATTATAAAGCATCCACGAATTATAAGGAGATATATGTTGAAAATGCTTCCAAGATAAAATGTAGAAGAAAAGAAGTTGGGGGAAAATTGGGAAAATTTTACCATTAGATGAACACGAACCTCGACTTCCAATTGCATTCTTTCCAGTCCTCCTCCTCTTCAAGCAAAGAAAGTATTTCCTTCCTTTCTTTCTCTGTTCGTCGAACACCACCACTCCATCACTGTCCGTAGAACCGGACTTCCCCTCAAGTTTCTGAAACCGAACTCTTCTCTTATCACCACCTACATTCCTCTTCCGTCCAGTGGACCCTAAACCTGCTTTCTTCCGTGAACGAGAGCCAGGTCCAGGCTCACCACCCGAACTAGAAAACCTGAAGATTCCCTCTTGTCCAGCCGTCGAATTCCATCTCTCGGAACTCAAAGAGCCACCTACTTCTTTAGGCCCACTTTGAACCGAAGGAGAAGAAGCAAGTGGAGAGGATGGAACTTGTACTTTGGCAGGATCTGAGAGTTCTTTTCTTTCTTCCTCAACCACGACAGCCTGTTCCTCTTCCTCCTCACATTTCTCAACAATGGAGTCGCCATTCTTAAAGAGCTGTCGTGCGAAGAACCCAGATCCCGCAACTGCTGCAGCTAACAAGAACTGCCACATTGCGATCGACAAAATTAGGGCTTCTCCAAATATCTTATTTTACTTTCTTTCAGTTTTGTTCTTTCAAGAGATCTCCGTCTCAACTCTCAAGCAATGGCGTATACAGGTACAGCTCTGGAATCATTAAGAAGGCAAGAGAAAAATGTCGAAGAAATTGAAGGAGAGACTACGGTCTGTTCACTCCCCTCTCCTTTTTGTTTGTTTCACTTTCACGACATCATGTGTTTCCTTCCCGCTCTAAAGTTTTTTCAGACAACTTTCAAAGGGATCGTGACTGATGTCGTTTCGTCGTGTCCCACAGGAACTCGGATTCAGTCCCATCCCACGGCCACAGTCCCAGGCAGGAAGCAAAGTTGGATCCCTCGTCATTTGCGGGCGCGTGGCGAGATTACATCTGCGCCTCACAAACGCCCAACATGCAAATCCCAGCGTGCATTGGGAACATCTCCCAAATTGCCGGTGGGAGATGTTTCCAATACACGGTTGGGATATGTTGTGGGGCGTTTGTCTCTCGGTGGGGCGCAGATGTATACGCACTGTAGTCCTGGCGGTTCACAAGACACCACGACCTACACTACAGTACCCACAATTCATTATAACCATACGTTGGGAACATCGATTAAACAAATACGTCAGATTACTGGCGTGTAATGTTATCACTGGTTTTACAGCCATCTAAACAACATTGCGTTCAGCTGATCCGACGTAAGTTGTACGTCGCTACACTACCCACAAGACACTACAACCGTAAGTTGTACGTTAGGTAGCGTTCACGTGGGTAGTAGATCCCAACCGTACTTGGGAAATAATTCATGTGCCTTCTACTACCCATGAATCGTGTACATGTAAATGACAACATACAAATAAAGGAGAAAATTTGCAAGAACAGTTTATTTGTTAAGGTATCCAAGGGGAATCTTATAATTTTAAAGAAGAATGACTCTCATCTTTTATTTTTTAAAGAGGAATTTTACAACTTTTTGTTTTTAAATGATATTCCTAAAATATAAATAAAAATGATCGCATATGAGATTAAAATGGATATTTAATAATTTTTAAAATTCAAAATTCAAAGGAAAGAAAAGTTCATCAATATTAATATATCTCTTAATATAATTATTGCATCAAAGCAAACAAGCTGATTCTAAGAATAAAAAATGGGATAAAAATAAAATTAGAGGACTTCTAAATGATAATTTGTGGAATAAAATAGGGCCAATTATGATACCCTCAGGTGGTGACATGATAAATTGATTTGGAGACTGAATCGGAAAGGGGGATTTTCTTTTAAATCAGTATTCAATCCAAGTGTTGGCCAGCACCAGTATCGCCCCTAAGAAAATAAAGTGTTATATGTTCCTTTTGGAAAATATAACACTTATTTTTGAGCCATGAATATTCTAGATAAATTTGGAGTCTTTTGGAAAGCTCAAATTTGGCCCTACTAATATGGATAACTCGATTCTAGGTTGGTGGAAAAGAACCCAAGATAATAGGGTAGTGTTTTCAACCAGTCATTGACCCAACTGGTTGAATTGTTCGAACTGTCACTTGACCATGATTCAAAGTTCGATTCTCCTAAATTTGGAATTTGGTAAAACCATTGACCTGATGAAACAAATGTCTAACTTGGGTGGTTGGACCATTGATAAAATATTATTTTATTGATAAAATACATGTTTACACACAGACATACATACATACGTAGGTTGATGTGGCATGGTCTGATCCATTTGATCTGGATGGTTGAATCAGTGGCCTGTTATTTGGAGGCACGAACATTTATTTGGTCACCGAGTCAGTTTTTAAAACATTGTAATAGAGGTGATGAAAGAAATTTGAGAGAGATATGATGGCTTTCATCCTATGAAGAGTGTGGGAAAATAGAAATGAGAAACTATTTAAAAATAGGTCTCCCCCTCCTTTGATTTTATTTGACAAGGCATGAGAGGAGTCTTTAGAATTAAAGATATAAACGAGTATAATCCTGGGGTCACTAAACCTAAAAAGAGAATTTGGATTAGATGGAAAACCCCGAGATCAACTTGTATTAAAATAAATTATGATGCTTCAAAAATATCTAATGGGTCCTTTGCTACTGGATGTATCGTAAGGGATGAATGTGGGCATGTCCTCATAATTTGTAGTAAATTGGTTGGCTTTTGCTTTACATTAATGTAGCAGAAGTTTGTTGCCCATGATATGACTAAAGTATCACCAATGTTAATGTTATAATCGAAGGTGATTCAAAGCTTGTAATCAACTGTATGAAAGATGCAGTATATTCCTCCTTGCAGTATTAAAAGCATCATCAATCGATTGTATGCTGGTTTTTAATGGAATACCTACTTTGAGTTTAGATTCCGTCCACTCTCCTTGCAAATTCATTGAAAAAAAGGAATAGCCTAGCTTAATCAAATAACATATTTCTGCGCCTTCTTGAGAATGAAACCATACCTTTTCTCCCCTTAATCTACAAGTTCTATTTGAAGTCAATGGCGGATGTTCAGATGGGCAATGCAAGACACCTTCACGTTACAGGCTGAGATCAACCGGTTTATGATGTGAGTGAATGGCTTCTTTCTTTGAATTATAAGTGCCCGATGAAGGGTTGACTTATTACAAATTGTTTTTAGTTTCTAATTTTGATGGCTAATGTGTTTGCTCAGTCTTGGTGATTGCCAGATGGTTCAGTTCTTGAATGAAGTGATAAATAGAGATTAGTATTGTGTTATGCTTCTTCCCATGCGAGTTAAAATTTGATGGTATTTAGAGGTTTAGAGCAGAGCATCAATTCTATGTTTTGAGTGCAAAATTATTTACAATCCGGCTTCTTTAATCCAACCAATGTCTTCAATACTGCATATGGTGAAACAATTAGTGCCTGCAATTAAGAATCCTTGGAGAAAAACTACATAAACAAGTCAATGAGCTAGCACCAAACTAATGGTTTGCAATCAGAATTGGAATTGAAATTGAAATCATCTGGATTCGGAATCAAAATGATCCATTCCCATAGTCTTTACTTCAGACAGGAATGAAAATAGAAATTGAAATCAACAGGAATAAGATTTCATTCCTGAGGGGCAGGAAATGGCCATTCCCTCAAATTGGAGAATGCCATTCCAGCAGGAATGGGAATAAGATTCTGATTCCATTCAACCAAACAATTGAAATTGAAATAGTCCATTCTGATTTTGATTCTAGATCCCTATTCCCACGAACCAAATGGGGCCTAGGTATTTTCCGCTAGTAGTTGCTGTGGGGTATTCGGATTCTCTGCATAGAGCACATCTTACACAACCTCACATAGCACATTGCAAGTCGTGTGGCATGTGGGTAGTATTCATATGGGTCCTCCTTGTGAGTGGTAGGGGTGCATTAAAAAACTGAAAAATCGAACCAAAAAATGCAATTAATCAAACTGACCGGTATATATTTATATATATTTTTAATATATATCACATTTTCTATATATTATATATTATTTATTATTTATTATTTATAATATAATATTATACATATATTTACATAATATATATTATAAATATAAAAGCCTAAACACCGAAGAACCAAACTGGTCAAAAACCGAAACAGGCGGACCAGTTAACCGGTGGTACCAGTTCGGGACACCCCTAGTGAGTGGGCTGTAGCCTGTAGGTCTATGGTGCCTCCACTTCACATCTGAATACGTGTCTAGATTTTAAATATAAACTACGTGGCAAACAACCTCATATATGCATGACACTCTTCTATTATTTTCATAAGGATCGTTAGATTCGACTATTCTATATATCTATCACATTTACAAAAAAATTAATTTTTATAATTGTGCCAAAGGAAAGAATTGTTCTGTGGATAAAATTGACCTCGACTTGTTACTTTATTAGTATTGCAAAGGAATCCATATCTAGTAGGCACACGCCACACGGTACGCTCTAGTGCTCAAAAAGGACACTGAGTAAGAACACAGCCACACTCTGCAATGACCGTGTACTCCCAATCAACCTGTACCATAAACACATTGCAACATAGGCGTTACACACTTTTTGTATGCTCACTTGGTGTGCTTATTGCTTAATGATCCAGACTTTAGTACTTAAAAAGTCAATTTTCAGTTGTGTATTCTGTATTGCCTATTTAGTTTGAGATTTTAGTGGGTCGGGTTAAATCAACTCACAAAGTCACAAGTGGCAAGCCTGCCTTTGGGCCCTCGATCCTATTCGATAGTAAGTCTTAAACGGGTTTTGTTTCAGATTCGGGTTGATACCAATCTACAACAAACCCCACCGGTTGACATGGAAGCATAAAAACATTTATAGATATCGCCTCCACAAAGTATATGGTAGGGATGGGGCAGGTCAGCTTCGATATCCCATTTTATTCAGCTGTGTATTCCCCAAGTTTTAACTAGTCAAGAGTCAAGACCACCAAAGAATAGTTTATTTCTATCCAATTTTATGTGCCAAATTCCCAATGCATATCACCAAGAATCAACCATGTCCATGTGGGTAGTAATATTAACAATACATATAGGAAGTACAGAAAACAAAGCAGGGTCAAAGCACACTTGCCAAATTGTTTCCATTGATTTCTGGTTCTCAGTAAAATGTGTGTATGTGTTACAACTTACAAAATGAATGCGGGGAGTGGGTGGCTTCCTCTTGCTTGCACCCATGGGATGGTCACTTAACTATATTTACCGACCTCATATGATTATCTCCCTTAATGTACAACTTAGTGCAGACACAACAAAACTGCACCTGCAAAATTCAATTTTTGGGGGAAAAAGTAAAGGTATTAACCCTGCTAGGTGGAAAAGGTTGTTAGTATGACATTCAATCCTAGAAAAAATAACACATAATAGATAAAAGATCTGGCTGTCAAGGCTCACCAACAGAGAATGAATCAGGAATTCCCAATAAAATTCTGAATGCAACAGAGATCCTTTTTTTTTGGATCAATAATGCAACAGAGATCCTGCTGGATTGACTTCTGTGCAGTGAGTACTTTGCACCATGTCAGAGAACCCTTTCTCATCAGGAGGAAAATGATGTTTTCGCTATCTCTATTTTTAAATACAGACACCAAATTGAAATTCAGGAAGGGAACCAATCACCAAAAATCTCTCTCAAGCAGTGCATCCAAATGCAGCCACTCCAATTTCAAAGCAGAAGAGGTTTTGATCCCACAGCCAGCAGCCATACCCCCTAATCAGAGTCTAGGTCTATACAGAGGTCCAACCTTGGTCTAACAGACCGTGGTTGGCGAGGATGTGAGAAAGGGCCATCTGACCTTTGCTTATTTGTGGTTATCCTGTCAGGCCTATTGCCGTTCATGCTCAGAAGCAAAGAGGCTGTAGAAACAGATTAAAAACATCATGTCAGTCAAAATAAACCCGAATGTTTCAAATGCCAATTATTGACTAGTAAGCCTTCGCTTATCTCACTGTAAATATAGCAATTCAGAGTTCTAAATTTTGATAATTACCACCAATAACCATTAAGCCTAAATTTTAAACAATCCTGCTCAATTTGATCTCCCATTCTTTTTCACTGTCAGATAGTGAAGAACAAGTGAGAAATGATTGCATGTTTTCCAAATAATCCAACAGGCCCGAACTACCTTTCCTAGTCTACCCAGTGTAGGGTATAATCCCCATTATGAGATTCTAAACCACACAGTCAAAAAAGCAAAGTACTCTATATAACACACTAGTTTTATGATCCTCAACCAATCAGTTGGATTGGCTTACATCCCCTACTTGTTGCCAGTCAAAATGGCCTTTGAAGTTTGAACCACCACATGATGATGAAAAACAGTATTCCAGTCTATCTTTTATACTACAGCTTTGACACAAACATGCCAAAGAAAGAACTGAACAATTGCATATTGAGAGGAAACGTACCAGTGTTGGCTAAAGCTTCCATCCTACCCTCCTTGGATGCAAGCTGGTTTCTTGAATTCAATCCATTTGTGGCTCCAGACTCACCATGGCCCCTACTGCCACCACCACTACCACCAAGCCTAAGAGAAATCCAGTCCTCAGCACGAATACCATTGGCTAAATCAGGTTGGTCTCTTGTATCAGACTGTGCTGAAACACTGGCTGGTTGAGTAGGAAGGAAAATTTGCAGGGAGGGATCATCCCCACCAAATGCCAAGGAATTATCAACCAAACCATCATTTATGTCAGTGTTGGAATGACAAGCAGAAGGATCTGGAACTTTTGTTGAAGAACCCAAAGGCATATCTGGAGTCAAAGTGTATCCATTCATTGATGTTGGACAAGAAGCAGAAGTATTTGGCATTCCAACTAAAGCATCTGAGACATCTGTATCCGTACCAAATAGTTGAAAACCTGGACCTGCTTGAGTACCAGATGGAAGTTGCCAGAGAGGCATCCCAAAGTCATCATTGTTGCCACTGAAGAACAGGCATGAGTTCCCCCCTTGATCTTCTTGGTATGAATCTGGAACTTTGGTAGGGGCAACAGGATAAGGAATCCCAGTGGCTACAGATTGACAGTTCTGATACACAACTTCATTAGAAGGAAATTTTTCATTCTCCTCTTCTGAATCAGTGAGAACAATAACATTTGCATCCACTACTGGCCCAGAAGAACTTCTGTTACCAACTCGATATGGATCAAAATTCAAAGACAGAGAATCTAGCTCATTGCCATTGTTGGCAGAGAAGTCAAAATGCCCACCACCATCCTGATTAACACTTGGATCTTCACCATCTCTACAGCTTCCAGTGGCACTACTGCTCATTGGAATGACCTTTTCTGGTAAGCAGTTCCCAGAAGAGGGGCAGTGCACATCCTCTGCTTTGCTGAATTCCCAAAATCCATTACTATTCTTCCTGATACCTAGTTTCAGACCAGTATGCTCCTCTGAAACACCTTCCTGTTTTATCTGCTTTGAGGTTTCCAAGTTCAGTTTTGCATCATTGTTTAAAGTGACAGAAAGAGAACCATCAGGGAAGTGCCACTGCGCAAGATCTCTATGTTCATTTTCATTCTTTGCACGCCAAGAACCATCTGGCTTCACATCAATCTCGGTTACATCTTCACTACAATGCAGCATCTGCATAAGAAAATTAAAGCATGTCAGAAATATATCATAAGGATTTAAAATAGATAAATGAGGCAGTCTAAAGTATTACCATAGTAGTGATACGATTGAAATATGGATCAATGATGATATTTTCCAAGGAGTAGTTCTTTAGGCAAATGGGGCATTGCCACTGCAGTAAAAGTACAAACATTATTCAAATATACCGGCCCAAAGAAGATAAAACAAAGCAAGCAACATGGTCAAATACTTGCCTTCCTAGAACGTTGGTTAAGCTCCACAAATGTTTCCAGATCAAAACAGCCCATATGGGCACAAGGTTTGAATCGGCCAGCAGTTTTTATTCTTGAGCCACTCATCTGCCATTGAAGTGCAAACGTACAGAAGACACCAAGTTACAAATTGGTTACAAACTAGATATAATTATGCTTATTTGAGCGTAAACTATTTACCATAAGCAACTTCCTTCAGTAGCTTGATCTGTTCAATGTGATCTTTCTTTTATGTGTTGGTTTCAAGTACTGCCTTGTTAATAAGAACCCAAGTTTTTCATACAATGAGAATTTTATTGAGAGTTGTATGGATAGTGGGCAGCCATGATCATCATGTGGCAACTAGTAAGCGAAATGCAAAACCACCCACTTACAGGATGAATGCTAAAAAAACACATTGTAAGGTTTTTGAGGCCCCTAGGTCCAGCCCAGCAACCCTGGCTTCATTATGATAAAAGAAATGTCTGAAAAAAATCCCAACACATTGTTTTTTTTTCTCAGTCCAATTCAGTTCATCCTTATCCCAAGATTCCCAACTATTAAGGCTTTTAAACAAACCTTGTTCTATTATTACACTATGCAGAGGATATCCACAATACTTAACATTCCATATCAAATCTTTGGAATATATTTTCAACTTCTTTTTCAAGTAGAAAATTTTATAATACACACAAAGACCCATCGAACTAGCAAAAAAGAATTGCTCTAGTAAAAACAGCAGAAATAAAATAATAATTAATAGTTCGTACTTCCTAGATCGTTGCCACACGAAACACTTTTTGGAGTTTGGAGGTCACACCCAGTATCTAACCTACTAAGAGAAATCTTATTCCCTACAAAACCTTAACCTCTATAGTCCCCTATAGATTCTCCCCAGTCCAAAGAATAGACTAACATCTAGGAGGAATTCTCAACCGACGTGTGCTAAACTATCTAATTAGCCACTCATCAGTATCCTTGCCGTGGACAATCACGTGACTCCCCTCCAATAACGGGCCGGAGCCCGACTTCAATAGATGGTTGGAGATTCAAGGTGAGAGCATGGAACTGAGAGCTATACCATTTGACTTTGATTTTTACATCTCATTTCATTAATTAGCTTTAAACATCAGAACATATTAGAACTGGAGGCTGCTATGGAACTGAGAGCAATGATACTGGACAACATTGAGGTTCATGTGGGTGGTTCTGGAGTTCGACCCCTGGAATCTGGATGTGTAACAGTTGCTAATAAACCAAATCAGAAATAGACACGTCACTGAGCTATTACCAGGTATATCAACCACTGACGTGTTTATTTCTGATTAGTGTGCCAGCTAAACGTGCGCTGACAACCACATCCTACATATTTATACTGTACAACCAACCTAATTGCAACCTTTTATTACCTTAATAAAAGCAGCCTAATTGCAAAATTACAATTTTTTCGAAGCCTCAAAAGCAAGGACAACAGGTACACGAACAAATAAAAATTAGATAAAACATGTTGGAATTAGTGAAAAAATGCCAATTAAGTTTTTTACCCCGTAAAAGTCTAAATATAGAATAAAAACATAATCGATATCATGGTTCAAACAAATTTTCAGCACAATAAGCGAAAAAGGGCCTGTTACTGATCCAGGCCATTGGATATCAGAGACTGCAAGGCACAGAAGTGCAAAATCACCACTTACAAAATGAATGCTCAAAAACCAGTCATCCAAATCCCTGAATAAGCCAATGGAAACAATGAAGAGCCAAAATGCAAGCTCAGTGGTTGCTATGCATTTTTGATGAAATTTGCATAGGGCTGAATATTCAAATGGAAGTACACTAGATACACAAGAGTACTGAATATTCAAATGGAACCTGAATTTTAACCAAGTAATCAGTGTTACAGTTCAACATCTACCTACAACGTAATTAACATGAATATGAGATCATGTACATCGTATATAAATGATGAATCAATATGAACGCATACTTACTGGGCAACGGAGGTTGACAGTAACTGAATCTGCAACAACTTCCAAGTCACTGTCACTATCAGCATTTTCTGTAGTATTTCCTCCGCCAATACAGCGGCAAACACGGGCAAGAGCATCTTCAAAACGCTCACCTTCTGTTTCTTTTGGAATCATGTTTAGGACCTAGGCAACAATTTTACCATTAACAAATTTAAGATGCAATGTGATGAAGCCTTGACGAAAACATATCCAGGCACACTAAGAAGGTATATAGGCACTTGCCATGTATACCATATGACATATGATGCTGATGATGCTTGATGACAACAACAAAGTGGACAGAACGAAGACACAAGTAGAAATAAAGATCACTGAAGACACAACGGTATATTGCTCATGCCATCACCTAAACATTATAATACCCCCTATCTGGTGCACTATAGCCGCAGATGCATAATGCAGAAAAAGATCAACAATACAGAAAGTAGAATAAGAGCAAATACTAGCAGAAAATCTGTAAAAAGAACTGCCCAAAACCTGTAGGTAGGGTTTAAAGCCCCAAATAATAGCTTCTGGCATAAATCTGTAAAAAGGACTATCAAGTATCAACTGACCCTTTTAACCTCATGTTTAGTGTTGTCCCTACTTATTAGGATTCCTTCTTTTAAATGCTTGTCATCATGCTTGCAATCTAAATTATGAATTTAATTAATAGGCAGATGACGGAGTTGCAAGCAGATTATTAAGGGAACCAAGGACCAAAAGTTGTGCAATAAAAAAGTCATATAATGTAGTTATAGCTGTTTGATTGGTTAATCTACTCTTCATAAAGTTATGCAAGAAAAGAGGAATACAAAGTACCTGTTTGATTGGCTTATCTATTCTTGATGATATAAAGTTTTGCTAAGCAAATGGAAAAAAAAAGGTTAAACCAAAAATGAATGATTGATCCATCTCAGAAAAGGAGAACCAAAATATCAGGAGCAGCCATGGCCCATGGCTAGGTCTCCCCTACAAAATATACCACCACCACTATCCATCACACCTTATAAAGAAAAAATAAAGAATAACCAGGAAGTAGAAGCACCAGAAATAGTGTGTTTGTCAGTACTCAGTAATTCCTTTCCCTTGTGACTGTCAACAGTCAAATTGGCTGGTCATTGAATCCAATGAAACACCTTATCATAAATTCATAACTTTCTTTTCTTGAACCTCTTATAACAAGCTCTGTATCTCCCTATCCTAAGGGAATTTCTTATTGCATGCAACCTGTGAAACCCAGATACCAGTACAAGGATGCTGCATTGTGCTGGATACTTCAACTTTTAGTGCAAATTCTGCATCCAGTTGTATCCTTTCTGTATGTGGGTAACATAGCACACAGCACTGAAAGAATTAGGTCTAAGGGCCTTGTGTTCAAGCATGATTTTGCTAAGATGAAATGAGCTGCATCTTTATATCTCATAGGAAGGGACAAGGGCGCAAGTTACTATGGAGATGGCTGTTTCTATGATGCACTATAAACACTAGAGTTCCATCACAAGAAACACTCAATCCAGTAAATCATTGAGACAATTCCTAGTATGATGGCTTACTGGATCACTATAGTTTTTTCTTTTTTTTTTTATAATTGAAAATTTAATTCATTACTCAAAGAAAGATCTGTTACAAATAAGCCCAGAGAGGCTCGAGGTGCAGCCTCACTCTTTAAGAACAAATCAGGACTACATGAGATACGAGTTACCACTAGAAGAGAGATTATACACAATCATAAAGCTGCCCAGAACAGAAAAAACCCTATTAACCCCTTGTTTTGCAATAGAATCAGCCATCTCATTAGCCGATCTTCTTACCCATTGGACCCTCACTATCATATTCCTAGTTACCCAAGCCACCTTCTTAAGAAGATCTCTGAAACCCCAGACAGTCGGATCTGGATCCAGCAACCATCCCACAACAACCTGGGAATCGCCTCCAATTATCAGCCTTTCAATTCCAAGTTGGCTGGCTAGCTGCTGAATCCCCTGTACATCAGCTAATAGCTCTACTCTGGTAGAATCTCCTAAGCCGACTGGACCTGAATATACTGCTAAGATATTGTTGCCCTTGTCTCTCAAGATTCCTCCAATACCAGAGGGGTCAGGGTTACCTTGGCTGCTTCCATCAAAGTTTAGTTTAACAAACCCTTCAGGAGGAGGGACCCAAACTGCAAGAAGCCTCTGTTTTGAAGATCCAAGGTTTAAAATGTCGATGTCGATGGGAATGTCGCTTACCCAAATATAGGACATATGTTGGTAATGTTGGAAATGTCGGATGGAAATATTGTAAAAATTATAGACATTGTGAAATATTATGAAATATGTGGAAATATGCAATGATATTCTGTAAAATGATAAAATAAACATTAATGCACCTTTCTAGACTATTATCTTCCATGATGCATATTTTTTTGTTTTAATAAATAATTAGAATTAATATAAACAATATAAACCATTTGATATTTTTATTATTATGAAAACTATTTTATTTTATTCTAATAAGTAATTAGTTTAAGTAATATTTTTATTATTATATAAAACATCTCACTATTTTTGGTTTTTATGAATATTTTATCTCAAATATAAACTTTCTTATTATTATTTCATTTTTTTTTTACTTTTATAATGAGGGTATACAATATCACTATATAAACTATTTATTAAATCATATAAATTAGACAAACCATTTAATATTTTATTATTATAAAAACATTTTATTTAATTTTGAAAAGTAGTTAGTTTAATAATTTTGTTTTTATGAATATTTTATATTTTATCTTAAATATTAATTTTCTTATTATTTATTCATTTTTGTTGGCTTTTATAATGAGGGTCTACAATATTACTATAGACCTTCATATACTTGTAATAAGACTATAAGAATATATTAAAGATTCTTTTTATATGTTTTCTATTAGGAGGCTTGTAGTATTACAATATACCCTATTGCACTATAACATACTTGTAATTATGTTTGTAGTATTACAATAGACCCTATTGCACTATAGACTTAAATAGACCATCATGTACTGTGGCATGTCTTTTATAACTTAAACATTTAGGCTTAAGGGTTCATTAGTCATTCGAACCCTCAACCTGAAATTCCGAAGACTCTACAAAGACACAAAGACGCAGTCATAGTTGTCAAGGCGACGCCTAGGCGACAAGGCGCCTTTTGAGGCTCGCCTCATCTAATCGCCAAGCAGTTTTGTACTATGCATTGTAAAATATTTTTTTATTCTTTATCTTTTGACATTATAATTATAAAATAGGTAATATTAAACTAAAATATTCATTTTGTGTGTTTATATACTAATTTGTTTTATTATTATTTTTATTTGTTAGGATTTAATCAATACAAACATTGCTAAATGCTGTATTGAACCCTCAAAGACTTTAAAACCTGAACCAATAAGTAAGGAAGAACTTAAAATTTTGTCTAATCAACACATTTTCTACTACTACTACAGTACTACAATACTACTACTACTACTACTACTACTTTTTCTTTTATTCTTTT